AACAGCAAATTAAACCAAACCAAACCTCGACCAACAGAATTCATCGGCAGTATATGAAGACTGGTACAAGAGCCAAACACTTGCTTCAATTTCCTGTTATATAGAGCAGTTACCAGGCCAATTTTAAAAGAGAAATGTGAACGTTTGAAATAATAATATATAAAAAAAAGCAACAGCTAACTTGTGCCTGCATGGACTATGTCAGTGCCATGACTTTTCCCCCTCGTCACTCCGGTGAGAAGTTCATGAGAAAATGTTTCTCTGTGTCAAACATTCTATAGACTATATATTAAATTACTTATCCCCAGAGCCTACAAAGCCAACCAATACATTGCCATGCAACGTCAGCCGATTTTTCAGGGCAAAAAGTCATCAGACAGAGAGGGATGTAAGCACAGAAAAATGCGGGGGAGGGAGGAGGAATTTGTTTTACACAAATACATTTTTCAAAGATCATGATGTTGCATTTAAATTTTAAATCCCACTCACTGTACTATGTGGGAGCTAGCTATCATACACATATTTTGTAAACAAACATATATATATAAACAAAACAGGATGAGGCCTTAAGGGAAATCATCTAAATTTAACTCTTGAAGAGGCTGGTAGGGAAACAACCTAAATTTAATGTGTACACTTAATGTCAAATATCATTCAAACAAATCTGAATCGAGACTTATTGGGGAAAATATGGAAAAAACTAATATCTTAAAAGTCAAAACTTATTGGTATTAAATATAAACATATTGGTAATTCAGCTAATTACAGCTCGTATATGACATATCTGGAATGTTCAAGCTGTCAAAATTAATTTGAGATATCTAACTTGGAAACTAAATATGCTTTTGTAATAAGCATTAAGATTTATCTGTGTTTTCCTCCATAACAACACAACATCAAGGACAGTTTTAAGGTTGGTCCTCCCTTCCTCTAATTGTCATATATTCTTTTTAATTCCAGTAGCAAAGAAAGTCAAGATAACAATATATCACCAAGGCTACCTGAATTACTTTCCGAACAAAGGTTTCTAGAGCAAAATCGTCAGGCTGCAACATTTCAAAAGAAATAATATAACCTTCAGCCAAGGAAAACATGTCTTATATACATTGTGTATTTCTATAGAAACAAAATACATTCCTGCATCAATGTTTTTTCCAATGGCATTTGTTGGGACAGAGATTACAGACATAATCTATATTTATACGACACTTAATCAACTGTTGTTTTTTTATAAAAATATATTATGTAATTTTGTGTAGATTGATGCATTCTTGAACATGTAACATCTGCTGGTTGTTGAGTCTTGATTTTTTTATCGAAATATTCAGCATATGAGCTCGATTATTTGTACATTATACATACATATGTATAATAATAAGTATTTAACCAAACACCGCAGGACAAATATGATACCTCTCTATAAAACACTTGTGCGAGACATATTATCTGGACTGTGACATCACACGAGGGTGGACCATGCGGGAATGGCAACTAAGTTATTACTGATTCATTGTCTCGTTTTTTCAGTTTTAACTATTTCTGGTATGACAATAAGCACAAATCAGAGACATCGCAACAGTATCAATATACATACGTAGTGAGAATTATTGATTGTGAGGGAGTTTCACAATCTCCAATCCCACACCTACTACATAATACAGCGCTGACATTTAATTGATAACGACACATTCCCAGAGACCAAATTAGCTGGAAATACATTGATTTTTTAAGGGAAAGTTTTGAAGTTGTTAACAACAGACTTTGAAGTAGTGCCTGAGTCCACATCACTGTAAGAGGATTGTCAGTCACATGTTTAAGTCTTAATTCCCACACATAGTCAACATCTATATGTTGACAGGGAACTGAAAACTTCCAAAACTTTTTCAGAGATTGATGACATATCCCAACTATCGAAAATACTGAAACAAAACACATATCTAAATTCCAATTTCATTTCTTACCTAACGATATTTTGGCTGAATTACTTCTGTACAATTCTGTGTGTTTTGTCATTTCAAGGTAAATCTCACAACAACAAAAAAATTACTCGCAGTATTCAGTTAACCCTTTCATCCCTAGGTTATTTAGTAGACTCTACCATACATTGATCTGGATTAGTCCATTATGGTCTACAGCGGTGAAAGGGTTAATGGTGTGATAAATAGTATGAACAGGTTAAAGCTTCCAGTTAGGATCCCTACCCCACTGCAGGCAATACACTAAACAACTCCAAACATAGAGTAACCTCCCCTAAATTTTGTTCTGACTACAAGGGAACTACCACTGATCACAGGTAATTCAGTAGGTAAGACGGACCGACTTATGATCTGGGGTCCAGGGTTCGAATCCTGGTCTGGAACTGTAGCATATTTTACTGTTATAACACTGTTGTTGATTTCTTTTTTGTTCATTTCATCTTTATTTGTTAATTTTTAAATAGAAGTTACCTAATGTGCGAGTCTTAGAATCTCTTTTCAGAAATGATTTCAAGCTATGGTCTTGTAGATAAAACAAGTTTCTATTCTTTACTTTATCTATACTTTTTTTCCCCCCAAGTTTTGTACTACCAAAACGTTTTCTTCAACCCCGCCCCNCACACACCCCTTAACTTCCTAATTCCCTTCTAAAAATCAGATTTTTTTACCAACCATAAAAGGATCATTATGTGACCATTAGTGTAGAAAACCAGTGTAATGTTCTGTAATGTTCCTTCCCCGCCTGTATATCACCATGCTGTACATGTGTGTGTATGTAATACATAAAGGGTAAGGGCTGCACTCAATACAATGTACAAACATATACAACTATTGTATCCAGCTTAACTGCAGGGAGATAGTGTTTCTTCTAAACTAGAAAAAATTTACAAGACAAGTGTTTCTCTGATTCAACTATGATGGAAATCGAGCTAAATGCCAAGTAAAAAGAAAGAAAATGGCACTAAACATATATTGAAACTCTAACCTAAGTCAGTAAAATGAAAAATATGTCACAGTGTTCTACTTTTGGTAAATTTTTAAAATATTCCTCTAACTGTATTGACTTCTAACAAAAGTCAGTAAAATGAAATATACATAGGTCAGTGAAATACTTTTGGTAAATTTTTGACTTATTCCTCCAAATGTATCGACTTATGCAGTTGGATGACTATTTCGTTTCCAGTATTAGAGAAATAGAGCTTAAAGTCTAACCAAAGTCAGTAAAGCAGAAAATATAAGTGACAGCTACCTATATTTGACATCTAACTGTAGATCACGATCACTTCTTCAAATTTATCCAACTGCAAAGTTCTAAGACTGATGCACTAGCTTCTACTTTACAATACTGAAGTAAAAATACTAACCAAAACACCATACTGATGCACAGATAGACTTTTAAGGCAAACACTGCTCTGACCCCATTATGTTCTATAAAAAGACGTCTGCTGATCAATTTCTTAGGAAAACTTCTGAAATGTCTTCAACATATATTTGTAGGAATATTTCTTTGTAGGCCACAGGTAGCAATATTGTGTAGTCTTAAAATTTTGTTGCATCTGCACCTAAAATGGTGTCCAAGACTCCAAATTATGCCTGACACAAAAAAAATCCTGAAATAAATTTTCACAGCTTTACAGGAGTATTATTATGTGTTTGTCAGCTGTAATAAATCAACATAAGACAGCAGACATTGATAAACAAATAAAAAAAATACTGAAATTAAAACTATTAAATTCAGATAAACATAAAACTCGCAAACAATGCTGAAAGATACACCTGTAGATTGAGGGAAGCAGATTTTCAGGAAAAAAAATGGTCTTTCCTGGTAATTTCACTTCCGCCAAAATTATCCTGTAGTACTCCATGAACTGTTGCAATATACTGCACTCAACACGATAAGCCACAGAGTTCGATTTCAAACAACAACTCATTTACAAGGCCTTGTTAATTAATATACAATGTAGATCATACAACAAGGATATAACACAGCGACTGTAACCAATACGCTAACTTCACAACTGCAGGTGTTAAGCATGCTAGTGACGATGACTAAACACAAAAACATGCATGTTCCATATATACAAATGTCTGCTCCTCATAACCTTTGGGTGTTTCTTGCATTTTTTTTCATTCCAGCTAAAATTAAGATTTTTTTTATAACCGACACAAGAAAGATTTCCTGCAATATAAATTTGTATATATGTATACATTATCATACAGCAATCTTTGTATATAGTCTACACAGGTACCTTAAAGCTTATCACTCCTTGGAATCAAGTTTATATTAAGTACTAGACAATGACGACTACCCTGGAATGATAGGATCATCGCTGCTCGGCTCTAGTCAATCCTGATGTCATTACAAACCAGCGCAAGAAACAAACTTACTTCAAAGCACTTATTATATCTCACTAACATGTTGTACTTTTGTAATACTCATAGCTTAAATATTCATAAACTTCAGAATTTGTTTACCTTTCTGAGCTATTCGGGACTATTGACTAATTGAAGTGTTACCATTTCCAGAGTTAGTCAGTTTTCCAAAAATGAACAAAAACTGAAAACAGACCACAAGATAGACACCATGCCAAGATAAAGCCTGTCAAGATTCATGAAAAAAGACCACACAAATCTTGAAAAAAACGTGGGCATTTTAAGACATCTGTAGGTGTTAATCAAACAAATAAAGAAAATGCTCACTAAGGATCACGTTGAAAATAAAATTCAACAAAATGGGCATCAGAAGCATACAGGTGTGCTTCAAGTTTGCGCTAGATTGGAAGCTGTGCATATATATATATACTAAGTTGTTGTGGATACAGCAGAACCTTGTTAGTAAGTATTTTTTACTCCATTATTAAGAAATTACAAAACAGGAATAATACTAATACTGCTTTTATACATATACTGTACGTTTAAACAGTAAAATTTGAAAACAAAATAGAAATTCTGTTGTCTCATTTGATTTTTCTTGATTTGTCCCGTTTAAGAAGGTTCAGCTGTACTGAAGATGTTGTGACCTACCTTGGATATGCTGGAATTGGTCCCCCAAAACGCCCACACGCATGGAGAAAGTCTCTCCAGAGTTGACATGGACATGAACAACGTGCTGGTGGCTTGGTGGCGAGGTCCCTGGTACCGCAGACGCGTTTTGATTGTGAAGGCTTGGTTCACAGGGCGACAACTGGGTTGTCTGACCGTTTGGGGAGCTGCCCTCGTGGGATGAGGGAGCGTGACCATTTGTGTTAATACTTGCTGTGCTGCCACTGATTAGCCCAGGAACATTGTCGTGCGTGACAGGGTCATTTGTGTTGTTGGTGCCCCCCAGACCCTCGCCTAAAACCGTCGAGGTTACGTCCCCTTGATCTTGGTCCGTGTTATTGTTACTATCATTGTCGAGAGATGTAGAGCCACTTTGGACAAGACCACTCTCGCTCAGACTAGTAATTATGCCTTCATTACTATGATCACTATCATTTACCAGGACAGTGCCTCCGTTATCGTTCACACTGTTGTAACCACTGTCTGTAGCTTTGGAAGTCGATTCACTGGCCTCCATAGAGGGAGTGCCACTACTTTGGCCACAATCATTAACTAGTGTGGGGTCAATGTTATCACCATTGTCACTTTTCAGTGTAGTACCACCACTTTTGCCAGAACTATTCACTAAGTTAGTGCCACTCTGATTGTCATTCAGAATGGTGGTCATCTCGCTGCCACTAGTGTGGCCGTCGTCTTTGACTAGGTTTGTGCAGGTATCATTGAGGATGGTTGTCATGTCAACGTCGCCATTGTGGCCACTGTTACTCAGTGTCCCACTGTCACTGAGGTTATTTGTGCTGTTGTGATTGGCTGCCGTGGTGTTCACGGTGGAGGGGGGGAGCGGGGAGTTGTGCACAATATTGCCCTGGGTCAAATGTGAGTCACATGACTGCTGTGGGGAGGAGGGAGTTTGAGCCCTGCCACCAACGGCGGCCTCGGCAGCACCTGAGGCAGCACTGGCGGCATCAGGCTCTCCATGATCATCATGGATGCCGTTTTTAATCTCACTTGGAGTAAGTTGTCCATTTTCTTTTAGTGTTTCACATGTAGTGGGGGCCATGCCAGGGTTGCAGTTTTGGTTAGCATCAGACTCCGAGGCTTCTGACATCTTTTCTTTTTCCATGACCTCAAGTTTCTCGTTTCTTTTCAGCACTCTCCTGAAATTGACCAGAAACAAATATGAAACTGACCACAAACCAAGGAACAACAGCACTGACTATAGTTATAATTCTAACATATAAAAAATGTCATGTACAGTTATTAGATGTATTTGTCATTCTACGTTTTAGCAAATATTCCTCCAGATGGTCTGAAGTGTTATAATCATATAGGAACCAACCCAGGATTTAGTTTAGTAAATTAATATGAATATATACAAGAGTGTATTCACATTTTTCCAGTCTATAAACACAATGTTACCAGATCATAAAACAATTCACAGATCTCTGAAATTCCATCATCTAAAATGAGTCAGAAGAAAATTAATTTGTTTCATTATCGTCTCATAATTTCACTATTTTTGAAACAAACTGTAATCCCAAAGATTTTACAAATTTTGAGTGAGGTGCCCTCATAAACAAAACTGTTTCCTTCGAGTATTGTCATTAGAAATCAACCATCACAACCAACTACCCGGTATATGCATCTATGTGTCAGAAGTCTGATGGTTATATGATAATACAAATATATAATGTACATAAATGTGATTTTACATTTGCTCTATATCCTTCCATTGTAATGCATTGATTGAAACTTTTAGGCAAATGTTGTTATTAGACTATAACATTTATTATTGTAACGTCATCAATTTCATTCTTGTCAACATTTGATTTACGGTTCAAAAACTGTTCGAAATAATTTTGTAAAGCATTATTACTCAATCAAAATGTAAATATAAATAATGAATATTTTAGCAAATATTGCTATGGTCCTATAACACACATTTCTAAGACCGGGCTTTATAAAGTTTGTCATCAATAGCAATGTGTGTTATAGGACCATAACAACATTTGCTAAAACATTCATTGCTTCAATGTATGCATAATCATCTTCAAGAAGTTATTAATTATGTATCTGGTATATGAAATCGTGACTGAAGGAAGAAGTTTATACTGTAACTCTAGATATGCCCTCAACTTTTCAAGGACAGGACATTTAAATACAAATGTACAGATATACATTGATTATAAATGTCTTATCCTTAATTAGAATTCTGCAGCTTTATTAAATTTTATCTTTAGAAGAAAATCAAAAGATTCTCTGTCAATGCATCACAATAACTATTTATATAATACATGTTCATGTAAGTAAAGCAATCAAGGAATGAAATCCGTCATTGTTTTTTTGTTTTTGTTATTTCAATCGGTCACATTGCATCCATCATGAAAACAACAGGGCTAGATATCTCAGTAAAAAAAATATTGAATATATCAAGAATTTACCTTCTCTACACTGCATTAACTAGAATACATCATTTTTAAATGAGGTCGTAGAAGCGCACATTTTAACAGCAGGGGCTTTGCTCCATAGGTGCCCCAAGACATTTATAAGATCAGGAGTGACGTCAAATCCTGTGGGGCTACATTACAGTTCATGCAGAGTATGTGACACAGACCTAACATATATTTCAAATGATTAAAACATGATATGTAAATTAAATTTGTTTTTATAATTATGCAAGAAGTTTTTCTAACTTATACTAATCACTCTTGTTGGCCCAGATGGAATATCTTCGAGCGGGTGGCCATGGAAACCAGATGAGAGTACCTAGGAAAATCCAAGTGGATGGGCAGGTGACATATTTCATTTTCACTTTCCATCTGGGATTCAAACTCTATGAGTGGGCTATCCACCGAGCCAACCGAACACAGGTCATTTAAAAGACAAACTATACCGTTTACGCATTAAAATCTGCCCTGAAAAAACATCAAATTAATTTGGTGGAGCCTTTATTAGCATCTGACCTTCCACCCACACACACACATGTACATTGCACAAAGCTTCTGGACATACCTTAGCGATGCACCAAAAGGAATTTGTTTATAACACTCTCAGGTTAATGACCTGTGAAAGTGATTTAAAAGCTCTTGAATGTGATCCATTAAATTAAAATTTACCTTGAAGCACTGAAATAATGTATATATATATGTGAAGCATGGCTGTGTCAAGATGGTCACGAAATTCCCCTCAAGTCACAAGAGATAAGCTTACCTACATTTGTATCTGTTAGGTGTACAGTAGATACCAAGTTTAAATATAGACTGCCACTAATTAAGTCTGGTTTGTTGTGTTAGACAAGAGTTCCTGGCTTGACCCCTACATCCAAGCAAAAGATAACTAAATGTTGGTTTATTATTGAGGAAAAGCAGGAGTTTTGACAAATTAAGTCAGCTCTTCATAGGGTAGTCCGAGAGAAATTGAATAAAAATGTCCAAAGTAAACTTTTTGAAGAGTATCATGCTTCTCGAGACCTGAAAGGATTACTGCATACATGTGTATCTAAGGAAATAACATTGTTATGAAAGATACAAGGTACTCCTAATCTTTAGCTGTCTAATCTGTAAGGAAGGTTATACCTTATAGAGAGTCGAGCAAAAAACCTTTAGATAATCGGGACCATCAATCACAGGAGCATGACTGTAAAATTAATGAAAAAATAGTAGCTGGTATAGAAAGGTGGACATGTTTTTATCAGTAACCAGAACATGCATATAATGCAGCAGAATGATATGTGGAGTTTTAAATGTGCAATATTGAGGCATTAAACTATCTAATCAGGAAGAGTTTAAAGTTTACAATATTGAGGAAAGACACTGAGCAGGAAGATAATTTTAGATCAAAATATGCAACTTTATAATTCATTCTTTTGCACCAACATGTTCAGAATTTATGTATCCTTGTGTCAATTTAATCAATTGATGATCAAAATCAACCTTCAAAGTCAAAAATAACAATTATGGTCACAGGAATTACTTCATAGAAATCCCAAATTAAAGACAGGATTTGAAAGTATTTTTAAAACAGAAAGAATTTATATCAAATTCTTATATTTCTAAAGATATCTGAACTTAATTAAGTGTACAGTGTTATAAAAATTGAAATTCTATGAAAATTGTTGAAAAGATGCATCGACAAAAGACGGACATTTTATGGTATATGGATCCAAATTAAAGCGTGGTGCAAGGCGATTATTTTAAGGGAAAATCCACCGGTATAACACTCCACACCCTACAATGTATGTTTCTCTAATAAATCTATTCTTAAACCTCCCCCTTATCCCCTATCTCACTGTTTGAAGAATTAAACCATGATGGTGCTACAAGGGGTAGGGGGCTGATGCGGGATTAAGATTTACATGAAGAGAAACAAGCTAGACTTAAGCAGGATGTGGAGTTACAAAATAATTGGTTCAACATTTGACCCTTGTACACTAAAAATGCTCAAGAAAACAACAGTGACCTGTCATCTATCAACAGAAAAACAGAGATAATTGTAAGTGATACATGTAGGTGTGGGAACCTGATACATTAGCAGGAGGTGGCAGGGTGAAGATCCCAATCACCTGTCAACTTGTCCATCCTCCACGCCACACCTGAGGTATAGTGGTGATTTATATGCTCAATAGTGGTGATTGTTGGTGTAGACAGTGATGGTAACTCATGGTTGTGGACGGAGTGTGTGTTGACATCTTTTACTGATGACTGATAGTGAGGATGATATATATGATGGTAGTGTATGGTGTTGTACCTGGTATGATGGTAGTGGTGGTGGTGACAGATCTCGAGTATTGGTAGGATGGTTGCCTTAACGTTATGGCATATTGGTAATGGTGATAGTGGTGGTGTAGAGATGGTAGTAGTTTTGGTAGAAGAATGGCTGTGGTGGGGCTGTGAGATATGGTGGTGGTTGGGGTTTTAGAATGACTGGTGGTGGGTATTGTATGATGGTCACTGTGGTATAACAGTGTTGGTGGTAATAGAGGTGGTGGTGGGTATTGTATGATGCCAGATGGTCACTGTGGTATTATAGAGGTGGTGGTGTGTATTGTATGATGGTCACTGTGGTATAACGGTGTTGGTGGTAATAGAGGTGGTGGGTATTGTATGATGGTCACTGTGGGATAACAGTGTTGGTGGTAATAGAGGTGGTGGTGGGTATTGTATGATGGTCACTGTGGTATTACAGTTGTGGTGGTAATAGAGGTGGTGGATATTGTATGATGGTCACTGTGGTATTACAGTTGTGGTGGTAATAAAGGTGGTGGGTATTGTATGATGGTCACTGTGGTATAACAGTGTTGGTGGTAATAGAGGTGGTGGGTATTGTATGATGGTCACTGTGGTATTACAGTTGTGGTGGTAATAGAGGTGGTGGTGGGTATTGTATGATGGTCACTGTTGTATTATAGTGGCGGTGGTGATAGAGGTGGGGGTGTGTATTGTATGATGGTCACTGTGGTATTATAGAGGTGGTGGTGGTTGTATGATGGTCACTGTGGTATTACAGTTGTGGTGGTAATAGAGGTGGTGGTGGGTATTGTATGATGGTCACTGTGGTATTACAGTGGTAGTGGTGATGGGTATTGTATGATGGTCACAAGGGTATTACAGTGGTGGTAGTGATAGAGATGGTGGTGGGTATTGTATGATGGTCACTGTGGTATTATAGTGGTGGTGGTGATAGAGGTGGTGGTGTGTATTGTATGATGGTCACTGTGGTATAACGGTTTTGGTGGTGATAATAGAGGTGGTAGTGGGTATTGTATGATCGTCACTACGTTATAACAGTGGTGTGGTGGTGGTGGTGGTGGGTATTGTATGGTGGTCACTACGTTATAACAGTGGTGTGGTGGTGGTGGTGGGTATTGTATGATGGTCACTACGTTATAACAGTGGTTTGGTGGTGGTGGTGGTGGTGGGTATTGTATGATGGTCACTGTGGTATTATAGAGGTGGTGGTGGGTATTGTATGATGGTCACTGTGGTATTACAGTGGTGGTGGTGATAGAGTTGTTGGTGGTGGTGATAGAGGTGGTGGTGGTGGTGTTAGAGGTGGTGGTGGTGGTGGTGGTGATAGAGGTGGTGGTGGTTGTGGTGGTGATAGAGGTGGTGGTGGTGATAGAGGTGGTGGTGGGTATTGTATGATGGTCACTGTGGTAT